TTAATGTTCAGGTTCGGCTGATCCATGATGTGTCTTAGGCTCTTGTGATCCATGTATATGGTACAACGGACCTCATAGAGGTAATGTCTCTAAATCTTGAGAGCGAATATCACCACTCCCAACTCCAAGTCATGTGTAGGGTATCTCGTCTCATGCGACTTTAGCTTCCGCGATGCGTAGGCTACCACTCGTCCTCTCTGCATGAGGACCGCTCCTAGCCCTGTGATGGATGCATCACAGAGCACTACAAAATCATCGACTCCCTCTGAAAGAGTCAGAAATAGGGTGTCGCACAAACGCTATCAGAGGGTCTCAAATGCCCTCTACGGCTCAGGGCCCCACCGGAAATCCACCCCTTCCTCGTAAGACGAGTGAGGGGTACTGCAATCTTGGAGAAATCATGTATGAATCTCTGGTAGTACCCTGCTAATCCAAGAAAACTCTTGATGTCTGAAGGAGATCTCGGCACCTCCCACTTCACGATTGCCTCGATTTTGGCCGAGTCGACCAAAATCCCCTCCTGGTTAACGAGATGTCCAAGGAACTTGACCTCTCATAACCAGAACTCACACTCCGAGAACTTGGCATACAACTGTCCCCATCTCAGAACTCGCAATAACTCCCTGAGGTGCTCTTCGTGCTACTCTCGGGTCTTGGAATATACCAAGATATCATCTATAAATACGATGACCGAGCGGTCAAGCATCGGTCTGCAAACCCGATTCATCAGGTCTATAAATACTGTTGGCGCGTTGGTGAGCCCAAATGACATCACCACAAACTTGTTATGTCCATAACGAGTCTGAAATGCGGTCTTCTCCACGTCCTCCTCTCTGATCCGGACCCGGTGATATCCCGACCTCAAGTCTATCTTGGAAAACCAAGATGCACCATGTAACTGATCAAAGAGATCATCAATCCTCGGGAGTGGATAACGGTTCTTCAACGTCAACTTGTTCAATTCTTTGTAATCAATGCACATCCAGTGCGAACCGTCCTTCTTTCTGACGAAGAGGATCGGTGCTCCCCATGGAGAACTGCTCGGACGAATGAACTGCTTGCCCAACAGTTCATGCAGCTATGATGACAGCTCTTACATCTTGGGTGGCACCAATCAGTACGACACCTTAGCGATAGGGGCCACACCTAGCACCAGGTCGATCCGAAACTTGGCCTGCCTCTCCGGAGGTATCCTTGGTAACTCCTTTGGGAACACATCAACAAACTCCCTGGCCACTGGAACCTCTGAAACCGGAGTCCGATCCTTGTCCCGCGTATCCACCACGTACGCTAGATAACCCACATACCCGTGTTGAATATACTGTCGAGCCCTGACAGCTGAACAAAACCCTGATCCTACTTTGGTGTCCTCACCATATACAATGAGTTCTCTCCTACTTGGGGTTCAAACTACCACCCACTGACCCTCGCAATCAATCATGGCACCAAATCGACTAAGCTAGTCCATCCCTACAATCACGCACACCACCCCCATGGGAATCGGAATCAAGTCTATCGGGAAAGGACACCCCGAAGATCTCCAACTCACATCCTCGATAGATCGAAGAAGAAGAAACCACGTGTTCATTGGCGATAGAGACTCGCAACAGACACTCTAGCTCACCAACTGGCACACTGAACTCCCTACTAAATGTATGTGATACAAATAACCGACTCGCCCCCGAGTCAAATAAAACCAGTGCAGGCAAGAGTTCACTAAAAACGTACCTAATCACAGGTACAACAGATAAGCATAAAACAGATATAATAAATGAGATAGAGAATAGAAACATACCAGCAACCACATCTGGTGCTGCCTTGGCCTCCTCGGCTGTAAGCTGGAAGGCGCGCCCCTGAGCCCTCAGGGGCTCTAATCTACCCTGCCTCCCATCGGTAATCCTCAATGTAGCCGGCGCGTGAGCCTGCACTGGCTTAGCGACAAGCAACAGACAGGTGACCTTCAAGTGGCCAACCTGATCACAGTGATAACATAACCTCATACTCGGAACCGGGGAGGCCTGGTGACAATCCTTCCATAATGCCCCTCCTTGCCACACCTATGGCACCCACTACCAGCTCGACAAACCCCAGAATCACCATTGCCGCACTTTCCACAAGTGTAGCTTTGCTGACCCCAGGTCCTAGAATCATAACAATAACTATTATACATATATTCCTCCTTGTATGATTCCACTTAAGAATTATTATTGCTAAACAATAACTAATTAAAGGTACATAATCATAACATTATACATATTTATAACTATATTTGGAATTCTTATGATATCACATCATATTACTAGATTTATAATCATTCACTATAGTTCCTCTAAAAATGTGTCAATAGATCGTCCATACCCTTTTTCACTTATCATTGAATTGAACAAGGGACACATTTGTATATTGATTTTTCCCACTAACAACATCTATATTTGAACATTAAGGGTTCGAGTAACAGAAATTACTCACCTTGATATATTTGGACCAGATGATGTTCCCTTGCTTGAGTTTTCTTAATTTTTCTTCCTTCTGAGTTTATTCAAATCTGTATAGTACACGTTCAAGACATCAGTTTTCAAAACTAAGCCTTACACAACACTTAAACATGTTCCCATTAACCAACTATCTAACGTATACCACTATTTTGTGCAAGCACAATTCAATCAAAACATCAACAACTTCAATTAATACTTTTTACAATAACAACTTCATCCAAATTAAGGAGTGAATCTCAACATTACTCCCTTAGGATTTGGAGTTCAATAAGCTTGACATGGATTTTATATATATATATATATATATATATATATATATATATATATATATATATATATATATATATAAAATCCATGTCAAGCTTATTGAACTCCAAATCCTAAGGGAGTAATGTTGAGATTCACTCCTTAATTTGGATGAAGTTGTTATTGTAAAAAGTATTAATTGAAGTTGTTGATGTTTTGATTCATCATAGCTTTCATATGTCAATAAAAAAACAATTACCAAGAAGAGTAATGTTGAGATTCACTCCTTAATTTGGATGAAGTTGTTATTGTAAAAAGTATTAATTGAAGTTGTAAAAAGTATTAATTGAAGTTGTTATTGTAAAAAGTATTAATTTGGATGAAGTTGTTATTGTAAAAAGTATAAAGTTTAAGAGTTTATTTATGCTTCATCATAGCTTTCATATGTCAATAAAAAAACAATTACCAAGAAGAGTTAACCATAATTAATCACCCCCTTCAACAAATATAAACCCCTAGATTCGAACATCAGTTTCAGTACTACACAATTAACTTGATCTACACAACTCAATTTTAAGACGATATTATTAACGGTAGATGTTCACAAATTCTACGTCGAATCAACCTTTCTTTAGCTTCATAACCATCACAAGATGAATGATTATTATGCCTTGATGATGACTAATATTGCAATGTGAGAGTAGGATCCTAATCTCAAAAACTTAGTGAGAGAAATAAGACTAGGATAAAACGAACAACAAAAATAAAGCATAATACCAAAGATGAAAAGAAAAAAAAAACAACATGTACCTAGTTTGACCGAGGATAAGGGATTCTCAAGTATAAAAGCAGGGATAAGGATGAAGATACCCGTAGTTCCCGATCTTCTACCCGATCTCGGTAGATATTAACATATAAAAATAATACAAAACATATATTTAGAGTAAATTTACAATATCCAAAATTTGATCTAAGTAATATAACTCATTAGTAATTATTTAGTTAAATTATACTTTTTACTTCTTTCTTTATCTAATTTAATCTCGTTTATAATTTTTTTCTTCTTCTTAGTTTATCTATTGTTACTTCAAATATCACTCTAATAATTTTTTCTACTTGATTTTCCATGTATGTATTTAAATTTGGTACATTTTTTTATAGTTTTTACGCAATATATGAATATTTTTATGTTTTGTGAAATCATAAACTCATGCCAGTAAAATTGAAATTTAGAGTTCTTTTTTACATAAAAATTTTCATATTAAAATAGAAAAAGAAATCCTTGCTTCTCTGTGAGGGATCTTTGGTCCCCATTGGGGGTGGGTATAAAGATTCATTTATATTATTCGATGAGGATGAGGATTGAAATGAGATTCGACGATAAGGGTGAAGATGAAGATGGTGATTGGGTCCCTGGTATTGCTCAATCCGTTTCCATCTCTACTTAAGAAAGACACTTAAATCCCTAATTTTCAGCCACTCACCGTAGGGCTCGGGTACAATCCTTACCCCTACGGTTAATTAAGCTTCCATTACAGTGAAAATTGTCCCAAATCTCCAAAATGGATAGGATTCACTCATTTATCATTCACATCATTTGTTCCCAATGCTTTGAAGGTTCCATTCAAAAGTTCTTCTTTTCATATCCAAACATGTTAAGGCGCTGTACTGAGTTTCCATGTGCACACTCTCAGGATAAACATCCATACATTTAATAAGAGTATCATTATTCCCAAACGTGTACATCAATACAACTCTATCACTTTTTCATTCTTACTTGAAGTTGGAAGAATAAGAATACATGAGCTTCATCTTCCTATTACTTTGTCTATCCAACCTTGTGGTGTGACAACATTGGTACTACATATTTATCACTAAATCCTGGTTTTCACCAACACACTAAATATATTAAAATTAATGTTCATTTTATATTTGACATGATGCTCTCTCAAAGCTTACGTTTCCACTATGCTCCTACAATCTCTCAATTAGCTGATATTTTTTACAAACGTACACGACAAGCTTCTCATTCCTCCCATTGTTTCGTTTACATATAGTTGAAAATTTACATTTACCGTTATCAATTTAATCTTAGTGTAGACTTCAAAGATTAATGCTTTATTTACAAGTTTCCTTGATATCCATGGTTTGGTTGGTGTAAAAGGCTAGATCTTATATTGATTTTAGTTTTGGAGATGTTGGTATGACATGTCTTGCTAGTTGATTGATCAAGGCGACATTTTGCATGGATGAAAGCTGATTCGGCATATTGAACTTGTATATTATAAGCACACAATTGAGCATGTCAATATAAAAGGGTATGCATATAGAACTTGTACATTACAAGAAGACAATGCATCCATCGATTAACAAAATTAGCAACAAGTAAGAAGAAGCAAAGTTTAGCAAGAGCAGAAACTACGTTATGGGAGATGTTTAGTTTTACATGACATGGCTCTTTCATTGTTTCTATTTTAAAACCATAGTAAAGCAACCATACAAGGTAAAGGTAAGCAGCAAGTAATACTCACTTGGAAATTCACCGGAAGAAAACAGAACAAGTAAAAACAGTTTGAGGGGTTATATCCCTTCCCCCGTGTTTTCAGACCAATTATCAAACGGAACCTACTAGTAGTCTCTTTCATAATAACTTAGGAAAAAAAAAAACTAAAAGACCACTTCAAATTTTCTCATCATCATCTCTTTCTCACACTGTGTAATGCTGTTGGATTGTATCAATATCCAGCCCCTTCAGCTTCACCACCGATTCCACGTGTCCCTTCAACGTCAGCACTTCCCGTAGCCTACTCACCAAAATTATCCATTAAAACCAAAATTATTAAATTAAAGAGAGAATGGTTTTTCCAAGAAAGAAAGATACCTTGCAACTTCAGCGCGTCTTTTAGCTTGCTCAGCGATTTCAGAGAGTTCCCTGTAGCTGCTCTTTTCGTTGAAGATATTGGAAGCTTCGGGTGCTTGAAGTCCGTGCAACGTCCTCTGAGCAAGAGCCCATTGAGCCTCTCTCTCTTCTCTTCCGAATTCCTTCTTCGATGTGAAAGCAGTCTGTAATTGTAATTGTTTTTCAAAATCAACAGTTAATTTACGAATGAATGAATTTAAAAAATAAAAAAAAAATAAAAGAAAAAAACTTTACCTTGTTGTCAAGCAGATTGTGCCATGCTTTCCCACTAAGGATATATCGGATGGCAAATTTCATGATGTCGAGAGGGAAGTAAAAGACGATGCTGTAGAGCCAGATGACACCTGCCCATCCCCACCCTACTCCTTTGATTCTCGCGAATTGCCACTCAGCATATACTGCTATAAGAGTCGCCACCTGAAATTGATTTTTTTTTTTTTTTTTTTTTTTCAGATTTAGTTTTTATCTTTGCTTCTTGTCGGAAATATGTACTAGTGTACGTACCAGTTGTGCTGCTAGGAAAGCGCCCAATAGTAAGAGACCAGGGCGCTCGATAAACGACCAGCTTCGTGAACGGGTGACGAAAATTAGAGCCTGGCTCACAATACTCACTTGGAGATACAAAGCAGCCATCATCTCCACCTCACTGTTTCTGATCGATCTCACACCAAATGTGTTCTGCCAGGGTTCGTGTTTATCAAAATTAGTAACCGAATATTTTTTTAAAATTTAAATTATTTTTCACTTACTGTGAAGAAGTCGGTGTCTCTCATGATCCAGAAGAAGATGACGGTCATTAAAGCTAGGTAACCTCCTAGTACGATTCCAGTGGCGAAGATCTCTTTTAGCTTCCAGCTGTCGGGTAATGGAGATGGTTTCACACGATCCTTTGAGATGGTCATGATTGTACCTATCAAACAAACAACCAACCAGATTTATTAAAAAAAAATTCAAAATTATTACGACAACGAATAGTACAAGACTTGAAGTGAAATCTCTCTAACCATCGTTAAGGATTGCGATAATCAGAACCATGAAGGGGGAGAAATCAAACTTCCATATCAATGCGATGAACATGAACCCAAACTACAAAACAAAAAAATATATAGATTAACTTAATTCATATATATAAATAATTAAATTCAGTATTAAAATCATAATCTTGTAACTAGTAAATTACCACAATACGAATGGTGATAGACACAGCATAGATCTGGAAATGGAAAAGGAAAAGGAAAAGATGTTAGTATTTTTTCAAGGACTGATATTGATAATGGGGGGGAAGTAGAGGGAGGGACTAACGGTGTAATTCTTCATTCTTTGGAAAATTGCTCGACTGGTGAGCACTGCACTGATGATAACACTGAGACCAGGTTCAGTAAGCACAATATCAGAAGCACCTCTTGCAGCATCTGTAGCATCAGCAACAGCAATTCCGATGTCCGCCTTCTTCAAAGCAGGGGCATCATTCACACCATCTCCAGTCATTCCACAGATATGCTTTCTTTCTTGTAACTTCTTCACAATCTCATACTTATGTTCTGTAACATAATAAAAATTGTATATTAGGGGCTGTTTGGTTCCAATATAATGTTTCTGGAAGAAAAAACACACACACACACACACACCAGGGAAAACTCCGGCAAATCCATCGGCTTTTTCGATCAACTCTTCAATGGGGAGTGCTGCAATGGCTGCATCCTTGTGTCCACCAAGCAATGAAGAAGACGGGTACATGTTTGTTCCCATTCCAAGACGTCTACCAGTTTCTTTAGCAATGGCAAGTTGATCACCTGTAAATTAATGATAATAACGTATATGATATAATTAGTGAAAAGAAAAATCATTATTTAATAATTAGGAGATATGATTGCGATTATAATTACCAGTGATCATCTTGACGTTTACACCAAGATTAAGAGCTCTGCGAATAGTCTCAGCACTGTCATGCCTTGGTGGGTCAAACAGAGACAACAATCCAACAAATTGCCATGGACCACCAGGGCTATCTTTTGATTTTTCAGGGACTTCCTGCAAATTTATCATATTTCCACCATTACTCAGTGTAAGTATAAAAAAATAAAAGGCTCAAGTGTACTTTGAAAATTCCAACACAGTTAAAGAATTATATGTATAGCTATACAAACCTGTCTTGCAACGGCCAAAGATCGCAGCCCACGTTCAGCAAATTTATCAATCATGGCATGAACTTTCTTCTTCATATCTTCTTTGCATCCACAGAGGGTCAAAATCTGTTCTGGAGCACCTTTGCTTGTTCTATGCCAGTCACCACGTTCGTCAATGTAAGTCAACGCTGTCCTCTTGTCAACAGGGTTGAATGGAAAGAAGTGAACCTCTCTAATCCCAGCTCGAGCCTAAAAACATCTCAAACACGTCAGCAACAAAGAAAGCAGATACATTTAAAAAGAGAAACAATCAAACAAAAAAACAAACCTCCTTGGGGTCAGCTAGGGTTCCAACAATGGCGGCATCAATGGCGTCCTGGTTTTCAGTCCTTGAAGCCCTAGCAGCAAAAAGCAACACCTGTTCCTTATCGACACCTTTAGCAAACACCTCGATCAAATTCTTATCCACGGAAAGCTTGTTAAGTGTAAGTGTCCCTGTTTTATCACTGCAGAGTACATCCATTCCCGCCATTTCTTCAATCGCAGTCATTCTTTTGGTGATGGCACCTTGCTGTGAAAGCCTGTGTGATCCGATGGCCATGGTGACGGAGAGAACAGTCGGCATAGCAATTGGGATTCCACCGATCAACAGAACCAAGAGATTGTCGATACCGCTTCTGTAAGGCCTGTGCTGGATTGGATACATGACGACTACTTCAACTGCCATTCCGACTGCGATAGAGCAGATACAGAAGTTTCCGATTGCTGTAAGAACTTTCTGGAAATGGCCGACTTGGTTGGTGCTGTCGACAAGATGTGCAGCTTTTCCGAAGAAAGTATGCACACCGGTGGCGATAACAACAGCTTCGATTTCTCCTTGCTTGCAAGTCGAACCAGAGAAAACCTCATCGTAAGGGTTTTTGTTCACCGGAAGAGATTCACCGGTAAGGGCAGATTGGTCAATTTTTAAAGGATCTCCTTCAAGAAGACGAGCATCTGCGGGAACAATGTCTCCCAATTTGATACTGATGATATCTCCGGGAACCAAAATCGCAGCTTCTTGTTCACTCCAACGACCATCCCTGAGAACCTGAAAGACAAAAGTGGTTAGTAAAAAGTAAAAAGTAAAAAGTGAAAAGAGAAAGTTCCGGCGACATGAAATGAAGAGAAGAAGGAATGAATACCTTGGTTTTAGGGGCGAGACCAGCCATAAGTGCAGCAGCGGCATTTCCGGCGTTGTTTTCTTCGATAAAACTGATGGTTGAGTTGATGACAAGAAGGCAAACAATTCCGACGAAGTCTTGCCAATCTGGTGGTTTTCCACCGCCGTTAGCCAGTGCGATGGCCATGATTGCAGCGGCTTCCATGACCCACGAGAGTGGGTTCCACATAAACCCAAGAAACTTGAGTAACTTGCTTTCCTGTAAACATTTCAAAACAAAATAATTTGTTTAACAAAAGACCAACATAAATATTGTTAATGAATTCATGATATTGAATTTACATTTTTCTCTTCGAGTTTGTTGGGTCCAAAGAGTTCAATTCTTGAGGCTCCCTCATCTGAGCTTAGACCTTCGCGGGAACATTTCAGTTGTTCAAACACTTCCTCGATTGGTACTTTTTCCTATAGTTTCAGAAACAAATATGGTTAGTTAAAAACATTCTGTTAATTACAAGACAAACAATAATTAAGTAAAAAGTAATCCAAATAAAATAAAATAAACGTAAAGTTTGATTTTATATCAACTTAATCTTTATCGTTACTTTAGTTTTATTCCACAATTTCATGTGACACAGGCATCTGGTTCCAATGATTATGACCCATCACAGAAAAGAAAGAGAATCAATGCCCACTAAAAATGGGTATAATTTTATTTTCTTGAAATAAAATAAATAAATAAATAGATAGATATACACACATGCCTCACCATCCCTTGTTAGTAACGTTTGGTATATATCCCATTCCCTCATCACAATTCACATAACTTTAACAGAAAAATGCACACTCTATTAATGGAAATGTGTCACTAATTTTGGTAACACCCAACCCCACCCAACTAAGGTAAAAAAAAGTTTATATTTTATATTTTATACATGCATATGGATGTAACTTCTTGTGAAATAAATAGTTGTCATTACATAGCATAGATTTTATAAAACAAAAGATAGTGGTAAATATAGTTACTACTTTGATCACAGGAAAAAGAAATAAAAATTAATAGTTAGATTGGAAAATGACAATCACGTTTTCTTCCTCCACTTTGTTTGTTTATATTAAAAAGTTGTATCAAGTATCACCCATTTTTAACTTTGTAAATATGTACTTGTTTTTTTTTCCTTGAGCTAATGATGAAATAAAAGAATATAAATAAGTGGAAAGCTATTCAAATGGGGTTACATGAATAAAAACAACAAAGACAGGGACATGTATGGTTGAGTAACGCAGGTTGACTTTCCACTAAACTCAAAATGGTGGGACCCATTAACCCATATTCTTAATTTTCCAACCAATAAAAAGGCAGCACCTAGGCAAAGAGAAAGAAACGGGTGGGTTTCACTCACGCACCGAATAAGAAAAAAGGTCCTAAAAGCCAACTAAACCACACGAGAAAGCAAGGGTACATCGGGAATTCCGTGCCACAAAAGGTGGGTGGTGGAAAAAAGAAGCCATATTCGCATAAAAATATAAAATATAAAATATACACCTTACCAAAAAACATATAATTTTAACCGATTCTCATTAAGTATTTTTTTTTTTTAATTTATTAAATTAAAAATTAAGACTTTGAATGAAAACATATTTTATTTTATAGAATCCAAAAATCCAAGAAACAGCGTCAGAAAGTCATTAGTCATGAGTCAGAGCCGTTAAACAAAAAATAAATAAATAAATAAAAGAAAAGAAAAAAACATAAAACAAGACAAGGGTACCACGGACATGTACCTACAAGGCCACAACACCTTCTCTCATTCACAGACACATTCCATTGAATTATTTAAAAGTACTGTACTATCACTAAATATATTAATTAATTAATAAAATTAACAATTATTTAATTTTTAATTTAAAAAGTATACCTATAGACTTTTGTAGTTCGTTGCTCTATTCATTTACAATATTTTCAAGCGTTATTTCAAAAGCTAAATGACTACTTTGCAAAAGTATCCAAGACTTTAAGTGAGAATATATACATAAAATAGGCTACTAAATACTATTACTTTTTTTTTTTTTCTAAGGTGATATTTTGAACACTAAAATGTGTAGAAGACATGTTAATAAGAAAATCATATGAATTATGTAACAATCAATAATGTATACATAAATTTTGATTAACAGTTGGTAATAATTCATGTACCATATAATTTTATGATATAAAAACATGTTCTTTTAGGGATTCAACTTTAAATTTAATGCGTACAATTTATTGCGTAGAATGTAAGCATTAATAGCCAATATTGATTTCAAAATCATATAGAACATTTTACTCTAACTTAGATAAGTTCGATTTCGGAAATTTATTTCATCTTGCAACAATTCAATATTTTTGTTCATTGATTTCTCGTTTCACTTATTTATTTAATAACTTGTTTTTATACATTTTTACTAAATAATAAAATGAAATGGAATTCTTACCAATTTATGCAATCATATTTCAATTTATCACTAACAAATTTACCAGTTATGTATGTATAATTTAATAAGAGAATTATTTTGATACATAAATTGGTAAAAATAAAAAGTGATAACATAATACATAATTTATAAAAAAAAAATTAAGTGATTATACAGCATAAAATGAACAAAGAAAAAAAACATGTAAGACGGTAAGTTAGTTGGACAAACAAATAATAACCACTTATTTTAAATTTAAATCAAAATCAAGAACCTAAAAGTAAAAAATCTAGATTTGATGCCTAACAAAAATATCTTGATTTATCTAATGATATCAAAAGATTCTGATATTCTAACAACTTAACAAAAAATCAAAATTCTAAAAAACCTGCAAATTCAGTTATATTTCCTCCAAGATTTTTTTTTTTTTTTTCAAATTAATTCCATTATATTTATCATATCAACTTAACTTAACAATATCAACAAATCCATCTTTGAATATGCATTGAATTTAAAGTCAAAAGAGTTCTTTACAATCATCTCTAATTTCCACACACGATAGAGGAGATCAATCATATTCGAATTAAAATAAAACTCAGACTGTTGATTAAGAGATCATAGCAATTAATCCACCTCTATTATTCGTGAGAATTATAGAGTAAATAATTGAAGAATTTCATTCTATTACGCAAGTTGAACAGTAATAAAGGCATATATAAAAGCGAATCATGAGGTGTTAAAATCAAATTTGCAATCGTACACATACCTTGAAAGTGATAGAAGAAACGCAAAGAAAACGTTTAAATTATTTTTAAGAAAGAAAAACAAGTAACTTTGTCGATTAGCATGCAAACCGTACAGGAAATTTAAATCATTATTTTAATCGATTCGTAACTGATAGGAGGAATAAATAAGTGAAGTAAGGTGTTTGTTTATGAAGGAAAGTGTTCACATGCGTGAACGCACCAAAAAGCAAATTAAAAATAAACAACATGATGTTGCTGCGTTAATCAATGATGATGTTAATGTCGCTAACGATGATTTCAATCGCAAATCTCAAATCGAAATAAGAAAAAAAAAATCAACAGAAACTTCAGTTGATTTCCAAAAGTTTATTCAGAAAAAAAAAATCCATCAGAAAGGAGTAAAGAAGAAGAGAAAGTGTTGTTCATACCAGATCAACAGTCTCGTTTTTAATCTCTTCGAGACTAAGCGCTTTATCACCGCCCATCTTGGCAGTGGCAGAGAGACGACAACACCGATGAACGGCGGCGACGACGCCGAGAAATCAAAAGAGCAAGAGAGATGTGTTTAATTGGGGGGAATTAATGAATGAAGAAGAGCATCAGTAGGTTATAATGAAGAGAGAGAAGCAATGGAGTTTGAATTGTACTCAAACCCCAAAGAGAAAGAGAGAGAGATTTGGTGTTGTTGAGGAAAGGGTTTTCTACACCTCAGGTGTATGAGTCTCTTTATACTTCGCCACACACCCCTTCCCTCGTTGAAGATACCACCCGTTGAGACCTCTAACCCCAATGTGATTGTGGGCCCCTTTACCCAACCTCCACCCTCCCTTTTATTATTTTTCTTTCTTTATCCTTTATCACTTTTTTTTTTTTTTTTTAATAAAATCATATAAATATATTCTCTATAATGTATAATTGTGTATCATTAAACTTATCATTCTGTTAAATCTAATATTATCCTAATAAATCTTTCCCATGACGTGTTGTTAAATAATAATCGGATGAATATGTTCTCTCTCTCTCTTTTTCTTTATATATATATATATATATATATATATATATATATATATATATATATATATATATATATATATATATATATATATATATATATATATATATATATATATATATGAGAAAAGTGAATATATCCTTAAAGGTATAAAAGTTTAGGTACTCAAACACATCATAATACGTTATTTTGTTTGATATTTTCATTATAATGTTTTCAAACTTTAACCTCTAATTTTATTTACTTTCAAGATTTTTGAAAATTTCATTATTATCTTTCTTTTACATTGCATCTTTTTGCCGAACACCTATTAGGTTATATATATTGTAGTTGAAAATGAAAATTATATAAGAGTAAGATAAATGTGTAATTTATAAAAATAATAGAAGTAAATCAAGTTAGAAGTTAAATTATAAGCACACATTAGACAATTATAATGTATTATATGATACAAAACGACGTAATATAGTGAGTTTAGGTACCTAAGCTTATATATCCTTAAGGGTATATTCATTTTTCATATATATATATATATATATATATATATATATATATATATATATACACACACACACGATTTATTTGAATTTTATAAGTTTCAAATCAGATAAATAGGTATAAATAGTCTTAGGTTATTTACATAAACCTACTCTTTATAGAATCCTTTATGAGATGGTCCATATTATTCCAAAGCCTTATTTATTTCTAACGAATATAAAATAATTCATTTGATAATTTTGATTTTAAAAGTTTTTTCTTTTATTTTTATGTTTATCTAAATATTAGAGTAAAGGGGCCATTTTTTTTAATAATTGAAACAACAAATCTAACCTACTCCTAAACTACTTCTTAAATTCACTTATATCTATGAAGAGACTTGAACCCTCAACCTCTAGAAGGTAGGGCAACACCTGATGTTGCTAGGCTAGAAGCCATTTGGTAGTAAAGGGGCCATCTTACCCTCACCTACCTATACACTTACATTTGATAAACTTCTTCAAGACTTTTTCACAATCATCGTCACACTTCTAAATCTTGTATCGATGCTAGCATCGACAACTAATAAAACCCGACCGAGTCCCACCATTTTGGAACGATGCTACTTGATCGACTTGTAAATGCAAACGAGGGATTCAATTATGTTTACCTTAAAAAAATAAACACATGAAGATTAAAATCAACATATTTGGAATCAGAAGATTGTAGATGACAATACTCCAATATCTATTTCACATCTTTCATTCATACCACAATTACACTAGAATCTAAAGTTATGTTAGAGATATATTAACAAAATAAAATGTGTTTTTGTTCTATACATTTTTCTGTGTGGAATTGATGTCTAGGTTGAAGCTCGATTGATTCATTGGAGCATCACTAATCTAGGTCGAAGTCTCCCTCAAAGCAGGAGTTGGAGTTATTTATTTTTGATGTAGACTTCTCGAAAAATCGTTAGATATCATATGCCCGCCATCGATGAAGATGAGGGGAGGGAGTTGTCAAAAAATAGTTAGATGGAATAGGGATTCCATTATTAGAAACCTTGACCAGCCGTTGTCAGAAGAGTTAAATATGTCACCCTTCTACACAAACGGTTTAAGGTTTTCATACCATAAAAGTTGTCGTTGCCTGCCATGGAGGTTTTAGATCTTAACGACAAGGCGTTAGGGTTTACATATTGGAGCTATGGATTACAAACTCAGAAACGATGCCTTTCTCTCTTTATCTCTCTACATCCTTCTCTTAGAAGGTTGTTTAAATAAGATCTTAAATCTTTGATGAAGGTGTCATTAAGGTTACCAATGACTGCGAAGCTAGGTTTTTGCTGCCACCGGTGGTGCTATGGTTTTGATGCCTTCGACGGACAATATATGGCATGCATATGGTTGTATTGGTACATGTGGTAAAAAGTTTCGGTTATTTAGGTATGTAACAATGGTTCCCAGAGAGAATGGTGGTATTTTCCAGCATGACAATGAAGATAGAGATAAATGGAGTTGATGTGTGTTAAAGAGCGAAGTGTGGGTTGGATGGGGCTATATTTTTTTTTCTTTTTATCTAAAAAATAAAAAAGTAAATAAAAACCAGAAAAAGAAAACAATAAGGGCAAATAAGTTTCTTTCACAATTGTATAGGACCAAAACCATAATAATTTTTTTTTTATTTTTTATTTTGGACCAATGATGACAATCTAAAATCTTTAGGACAAAAATGATTGTTTTACTAAACATAATGACATTTTTGAAATTTTGTTTATCACATATAACTCTTAACTTAAAAAAAACATTGAAACTTTTTTTTTTGGAAATATATATATATATATATATATATATATATATATATATATATATATATATATATATATATAATTTCCATAAATCTATATCACCTTAAGCATTGTAATAATTATATGATATGAATGAAATGCTAGAAAAAAAATGCTCAGTTAATTTTCAAAAATTTGATAGAGAATTTCATAAATGGTCTCTGTAGTTTGCAAAAAATAACAACTTGAGGAAATCTTCTATTGGGGTTACACCAATGGTCCTTAAGGTTTCCAAATCCGACATGAACGTTCCCTTGGTCTAGTGTTGTCAACCTACCTCTATTTGAGATGCACATGTGGCCCTCCTAAGAGGGAAATTTCACCATTTCAATGGGATTACCTTTCTCCTTTAATAAACACAACATACATTTCACCACCCCTCCCCATACCCTCAATTTAAACCCTCGAGCTTTTAGTATAATTTCATATTCTTCTTCTTTTTTCTTATACACATCCTTTCAAAACAAAGAAAAAAAAATCTAAAAATGATGTTTTGTGACTACAGTAGCCTAACGAGAATGGTGACATCATGGACAAATTTAAACTTGAGTAGGAGGTTATGGGTGTGCTCAAAGAATGGTTCTAATTATAGTTATCAGATGGTATGACCCACTGATATGCCCTATGTTGCTTTTCCTTATTCCTATACTTTTGTGATCTCTTAACTTGATGTGTAATTAAGCAAGGATGTGGAAGTGGCTTTGGATTTTCAGTTTGATGTTTTTTTATTTTTGTAAAAAGTGAAGCTTTAGGGTATTTTAGGAGAAAATCCTTCTATGTTGATGTAATCCCAATGATAGAATTTTTTTATGTTGAATTTTCCTTATTTATGTACTTGATTTGTGGTTTGTGGAATGAATGGTATGTATTTATGTTGAACTAATGTTAAATGAGATATGTGATATGTATTTTGTGTTGAACTAATATTCAATTTGTATGTTTAGAGATTTATGAACACAAACACATGTATATGTGATATGTATTTTGAGTGGTTAAATAATATGTATAAAGGAAATACCAAACTAAAACTAATATGTACACATGATATGCATTTCATAAAAGGTTAATCATGGTATAGAATGGTAATAATACCAAATCAAAACAACACAAATTACCATTGATAAACAATTTAAACATACATAAACTATGATTAACCACAAACCAAAAGACTAATGTCAACAACTAGAAGCGACATCCATTAACCAAAAATAAAAGTAGCCCTTAAATATCATGACTTAACCCAAAAACAAGTAAAGTGCCTAACTGTTTAACATAACACAATTTTAAACACGTCAACTTAAAATAACGTAGCAAGTCTGTTTCCTTTCCCACTCATTTTCCCCTTAGCCAATCCGCTAAACCCTACTGGGCCATTGTCATTCTTTTTCGCTTTATTCAATCCACTTGGTCCTACTTGGTCCTTGCAAGTCCTAGAGTTGTGGCCTTTGTTCTGATATTTTATGCAAATGACAGTGAGATGCTTCTTGCTCAAACTTTTTCCCTGTTTAAGTGCTTCAATATGAGCTTCCTTTCTCTTTTTCTTTGGGCGCCCAACCTACATAGCACTGCATTGTGTTAAATAAATTTAAGTTGTAACATACATGTTAATAACCTTGTTCAATTATTGTGTTTTGTATGTTTGTTAGTTTAAAATCGAATATTATAAAATAATATATGTTTTTGAGTGTTGAGTTCTAACAAGATAGTTTTACAAGATTTGAAGTAAAACTATGTTTAGAATCATTCGAAAAGTATTGGAAGTGATGGGAAGTCTTATGTGATTCCAATAAAAAGGTCAACTATCGAAATTAACGAAAATATACATTTAAGTTGGAAATAAGTAAAACTGATATTCTTGAAAGTTGTAAATTATCTCGTTAGAAACGTATAGGTGAAAACCTCATCAAAAACGGAGTTCCGAGCAAAAAGTTATGATTTTTTCTAAAGATTCAACATAGCAGTGTACAACCCAAAATTCGATTATGGATCAAGCTATTTTCAGCCGACACAACCTAAACGAGAATTGAAGGTCTCGTCAATAGTAATTTAACGTTAAAAAGACAAGCGAAAACGGATGTCAGATGAAGAAATAATGAAATTTTAATGGACTTTTCCTGTCCTGGTCTATTAAAAATATAACTTTAAAAATAAAGTCGAAATTAGCCGATGGAGTCTAAACGAAAGTTGTAGAGCGCGGTCCCACCTACGCGTAGATATAAAGAACATCAAAAAATGGAGCTAGTATGTGAAATATATGAATTTTTGAAGTTCGAAGCACAGACTTTGAGATCTGACAAAGCTCACGACGTGAGCAAGTATAACTCACGGCGTGAGGTTGTCCATCGACTGTTGGATAAGGTGTCTAAGTCCATAACTTATTTGGTATATACTTGACCCGACCCGACATGGTCCATTTGGGTTGCACTTCACCTGAACAATTTATATGGATAATCTTATG